TAATATATTTTTTTTTATAAAAAAGTAAACTAAATTTAATATAGTTTTCTCATTAATTTTAAAATTTAAGAAAATTTTTTAACAAGCACCCGTGTAATACACGGGTGTTGTACTAGTTAAAACTAAAACATTATAGTGTATTCGTTTGGAATTTTTATGTCGCATGAGATTTGAAACTTCTTAAGATTATCATATTTAAGAAATCCTGGGTGGAGGTGGGATCTGATTGAAATTTATTTTAGTATATGATTTTTCCTTGTGAAATCTCAATAACTCTTAAAACGTCCTAAGAAATCACATATTCAAATAAGTTAAAAAACCTCAAAATTTCTTAATACTTTATAAAATCTCAAATGAATACCCGAGACTTTTAAAGTCTAAGTTATACAACAAACTTTGTAAAATATTAAAAAAATCATTACAAATTCCAAACGAGTGCCCCTCCCTCAAGTTGGAATGCTAAGAAAAAGTGAGACGAAATTTACAAGATCTCCTTTTACCTTGCTCGTGGACGACGAACAAAACCCGCAACCCGAAGAAGCCTTGAGGCACGTCGTGCAGTCCCAATCGGACGAGTGACGACCCGCCAACCGATAATCGGGACACGCGTACGAACCAAAAGAATTCGACATCGTCTCGACTGCACTCACAGCTGGTGCCCGAACCGTGGTCTCGTGAAAAATGCCCGACAAAACCCCGAGCGAGACCACAACCCCACACAAGCTCACGATCAACAACTTCTTCCTTCCAGTCCGGTCTATGAAGTACACGCTTACAATCGAACCGAACGCGTTAAGCCCAGCCGTGACTAACGACAGCAAAAGGGCCGTCTGATTGGACGCGAAGCCCGCCAGCTGGACGATGGTCGGGCTGTAGTACATTACGGTGTTTATGCCGACAAATTGTTGGAAAATCTGAAGGCCAACGCCGGCAAAAAGCGCGCGCCGGACCGTGTTTTTTGTGCGAACGAGCTGCATTAAGGTGGTTTTTTTTTTCGGACGAGTCTTTTTCGACGGAGTCGCGAAGGGCTTCCATCTCGGGTTCGACTTCTTCGGGAGGGTAGATTTTTCGGAGGATTGCTTCGGCTTCGGCTTCTCTGCCCTGTTCTTGGACAGGGGTTTTAACAGTTTAATTGATAATTTAACAAATTATAGACTATAATTGTGTTTAAATAAATAAATAAAAATTGGACCTTTCTGTAAAGCCAACGTGGAGATTCAGGGAGGAGGAGCATTAGTATGAACTGTAACAGTGCTAGGACACCAGCAGTGGCGGAGCCAGGATAAAAATTTACGTATGGCGGCGAGCGGATGGAGTAGTACTGCCGGTGGGCGTCGGCGTCGGCGACTGCGAGATCGGTTCAAGAGAAAGGGAATCGA